AACATTCAGGTTCATTGGATATCCACAAATTCTAGTATTATGTGAGAGGGGAACACCTTTATCTATCCCTTTTCCCCATGCAATGCATAATTTTATGCAACACTATGATGTTGCCTGTTGCTTGCCTTTTATCTAAAGTAAAAAGCCCAAAATGCTTTAAATGTTCAAAAAAATAATAATTAAACAAACAAACAAACAAACAGAAAGCGCGAAGGACTTTACACCTGGAAGATACATGTTGGGGAATGCAACTGAGCAGCTGAATTTAAGTGTGGGCAGTGCACAGGAGTTAAAATAGCACAGAAGGTTTGTTAAACTGAAATAAGCAGGGAAACATTGCCAAAGGCCACTAGGCTGGCTCAATATAAGGCATTTCCTTATATTTCTATAAACCACACCACTTCAATGGCACATAACTGCCCTCCTGTCAGTAGCCTCTTGGGGCCAATAAATTCGTTTGTGAGATTTGAAACTGTGAGTCCTTCCCTCCTGCTTTGGGCTGGCACTTAACGATTATTTCATTTACTGTATTTAGCTTTACAGCCTGCCGAAGGGACTCGGGACACACATTTTGACCACTTTATGGTGAGAAGTTGGAGAGGGTTGGTGATGGGGAAATGAGACATACCTCTTCCACGACGAGCTTTGTCTGAAAACGAAATTGCTGCAAATATTAAATCCTTTCCCAGAGGACAGAGTGGCAGAAACTGGGAGATTTTTACTAGGAGGGGACTGGCATTGCTTTACAAGAACAAGGCATTCCTCAAGGGAGTGACAGTGGTGGGCAGAGACAGTAAAAACTGCAGTGGTGGCAGAGATAGCACTGACATCAAAGAGTCTTGTGGTACTCCCATTTATTTTGCACCCAGTGCACTCCCAGCACTGATTTGGGAAGCAGTGTACACACAACGTGAGTCGCAATCCATATCCATCCTGCAATTACCTGGGTGTTTCTTAGGAAATATACAGATGCATTTGGATGCGTGTTCTCCCAAGCCAGCTTCAATCCAAATTCAGAAAAGTAATTCCCTAACTGCATTTTAAGGCAGGAACGCGTACATAGCCAAACACGTAACACATTTATTGAGGCATAAGGTTTTGTGAACTACAGCCCATTTCATCAGATGCATGAAGTGCTATTGTGAGTTGCAGATATAGTACATACTATAAGTGGGGAATTGTAAACAGCGAAGTCAGAAGTAAATGCAAAAAGAGTAAAGACAGCAATAATTACATTATTTACGTGTTTACCCAGAAAGAAGCCCAACTGTGTTTAATGAGGCTTACTCCCAGTTAAATGATCTGAAAACTGCAATTTAGGTTGATTAATCCATTAGATTAACACCTTTTTGACCAACTAAAAAGGCATCTTGATTATTATATATAATATATATATATATATATATATACAACTTATAAAGCTGCATGTAGAACAAGTATCATTTTAAGGAGAGTTCTGTCCTGTGCTAAAGAGAACATGCAATGCCTCTGCTAATAGGATCTTGACTGAAACAAATATGTGCATTGTTTAAAAAGTATGCTATCTTCAGAACTATCAGTTTTGCCCTGCTGTATGTAAATCATCAAAATACCCACAACCAAACTGATTTAAGATTTCTTTAATTGTGTGACAATCCCTAGGTGTTATTTTAACAGTGCACATTGCACATTGAGCTTTATAGGGCAAGGGAAGACAAGGTTTTTGCTGCTGGACTCCAAATCCCATCAACCCCTGCCAGCATGGCCAGTGATATGGGATGATGGGAGTTGTAGTCCAACAACATCCAGAGGAATGCTTACTACCCCAGTTATTGGGTAGGTTAGAAGTGGAACAGCAGGACCTTAAAATTTAAATGTTGACAATAAACAACAACAACAAAGGAGAAGGCGAAATGGGATCAAACTAGGTTAGAATGTATTGTGGTTTTTGTTCCTGTTGGGAAGAAGGATTAATTGGTCACGACAAAAACTTTTCAGGAAAGGTGTGTTCTGAGGAAGGATTTGGGAAGAGAGAAACGTGGAATCATGTTGATCAGCCCACTATCTGCCAACTGTTCTTTAAAATTTACAAAGTGAAAATGAAGACTCTGGGTCTCTTGACAGTTAAAGTATCATTGGTCTCTGTTAAAGTGATCATGTGTACACACGCCCTTGGCATAGAACCTGTGGGGCCCTCCAGACTCAACTCCATCAGATCCAGGCAGCATGGCCCAATGGTCAGGGATGATGGGAGCTGGAGTCCAGTAACATCTGGAGGGCAACAGATTCCTCATCCTTCTAAGGAGGATCAGACAAAGAGCATTTTTTTACCACAGCCCCAGCAACCAACAGGCATTGGGTAGCCTACTGGAAACTGACCAGTGGCTGACCACTGGACCACAGGCTACTTACTTACTTTATTTATTTATTTGCAGGTTTATAAACTGCTTCACAACCAAAGGCCACTGAACAAGCAAGATCACAGCGCAGATTCATTTGATATACCTCTGGTTACAGATGCTTCGGGTTGTGCGATTTCGGGTTGCGCACCGCGCCAAACCCGGAAGAACTGGAACGTGTTACTTCTGGGTTTCAGCGCCTGTGCAGAAGCGCTAAATCGTGACCCGTGCGTGTGCAGACACAGCGCTGTGGGTTGTGGACGCTGTGGGTTGCGAATGTGCTTCCCGCACGGATCACATTGGCAACCTGAGCGTCCACTGTATATATTTTCTCTATCCACTTTCTTGATGCTATGTATGCTTTTATGAACATCTATTATGTCACCTCTTACTTGCCTTTTTTCTCTAGCACCTTTCCTTCCCACCTATCCCACACCCGAGTATCTGCCACTTGAGGCAGCCACCTCACCCTGCTTAATGGTTGGGCTGGCCTTGTTAGGAAGATAACCAGTGGGTGTGCATGCAGAGGTGGGGAAGGGGGCTTCTCCAGAGGAAACTACCGTATTTTTCGCCCTATAGGACGCACTTTTCCCCCTCCAAAAATGAAGGGGAAATGTGGGTGCGTTCTATGGGGTGAATACAGGCTTTTGCTGAAGCCTGGAGAGCAAGAGGCTCTCGCTCTCCAGGCTTTAGGAAGCTCTGTGCAACCCTCCGGAGCCCGGCGTAAAGCCGCGCCGGCCTCCAGAGGGTCGCGCAGAGCTGCCTGCCCTCCCGGGGTCTGCGCAGCTCCGTGCGACCCTCCGGAGCCTGGCGCCAAGCCGCGCCGGCCTCCGGAGCGATGCGCAGAGCTGCCTGCGCTCCCGGGATCGGCGCAGCTCCGCGCAACCCCCCCCCGGAAGGTTGCGCAAGCTCCTCTGGCTCCCGTTCTGGGGGCTGGGGTCAGGGGAAGCTCGGGCTTCCCCCGCCCCAGCCCCGCTCCTGGGGGGGGCAATAATTCCCCCCCTTTACTCCCCCCCCAAATCTAGGTGCGTCCTATGGGCCGGTGCGTCCTATAGGGCGAAAAATATGGTAATTCAAGTAAACTAAATAACCAGTTATCGAATTGGATTCCACTGCAATAGATCAGTATCTCTACTTCCATTATTAAAAAGAAGAAGAAGAAGCTTGTTCAAGGAACCGCTTCTTAATTTAGTAACTGAAAATCAATAGCCCATTAAGAAGAAACTAATTGCTATGGCTTCTCCCAGTGTACTGCCTTGGTAAACAAAGCAGCGAACTAATTCACTATTAATTGTTCTGCCTTTGGAAATAGTACAGCATTAAAGTGCTCTCTTGCCTTCAGATGTACTAGATGAGGGTTCATTGTTGATGAAGTCATGGCTCTTGCCGCTTAATAGCTACAGGGAAGTATTAATCTGTTGGCATCTGGTTTTTACAGGGTGTAATGAGAGGGCTGGGAGCAGCTAGAAAAGGCATGTGGTAGGGGAGACAAGACACCCTTAGAAAACCAAACAAAAGGTGCCTGATTGGCATCTTCTGAGACATAAAGGCTTTCAGAGGCTGCCTCCCAGAGCCCTCACACCTCCTTCCCAAGGCCAATGATACCCACTCTCCATTTATGTATTTGTTCCCCCACCTCACCCCCGTAAACCTGAGATCTTGTAAGTGAAAGCGGTGCAAGTTCCAAGTTTACTATAATAATAAAATTTTTAAGATGTTCTTATCATGTCCATATTTTATTTTAAATTGCATTGTTTTGCTGCTTTACTGTCTGCTGCCTTGGGCTCCTTTGGGAGGAAGGGTGGGATAGAAATTTAATAAAGAGTAAGAATTTCCTCTTTCCTCCCTTCCTGCTTCGCATGCTGCTGCCTCCCTCTTGCCTTGCTGTCTAACCAACTTCCACTCCCATCTAAGCCTACACACTGTGTAAAAGCGAAGGTTTCTGCTTCTCGCGTCTGTTGGTAGCACAACTCGTGCTTTGCATGCCAAGGTCCCTAGTGTACTCTGCAGGGTTGTTGTGAGAAACGTAACTTCTACCCTGAGCTCCCTGGAGCAAAGGAGGAGATATAAACGTAATATATTTACATAAGGGACCGCCAGCAATGGTAGGAGCAGAGCAGCAGCTCTACAACTGCAGAGCAGGCAAACTTTCACCTTCTCTTCCTGTTCTACATTTGCTGCCCTCTCCCTGCAAGGAGAGGAAAGCCCATGGACCATCCCTGGATGAGCCCCCCCCCCCATGCTGATTCACAGCAGCTGGACTTGCAGCGTGTGGGTTGTTTTGTTTTATTTTATATATTTACTTACTCTTCCATAATGGAACCTGAAGCGAGGCACAGGTCCATCCAGACATTGAACAGACCTGCTAAGCTTCAGCAAAGGTGCTGGCCTTACACCCTGGGTTACTTGGAATATGTTCAACAGTTGTCCATGATGGTGGAACCAGCTTGGAAGGGTGCCGCTGCATACTCTTGCATCACACTGCAGAAAGTCTGGTGAGTGACCTACAGTGTAGTTTTATTCCTACCTGCCCCCAGCAACTGCTCTCCCACCTGATCCCCAACACACATACAAGACACACCAACATGCCCTCACCATCGCGAATTTGCAACCAACACATACCTCCACCTGCTGGCAGATCTGTATCAGTTTGGCCATCTGATTTTCTAGTTCGCTATTGCGTTTAACGAGGTTGGTGAGGTTCATCTCCAGTGTTTGCTGCAGGCACAGAAAGGAGAGGGGAGACAAAGGGGGGGGGGGACAGAACAAAGAATAAACATCAATAAGCCACAAGCAACAAGATCAATGAAACAATGGGCGCTGGAGACTCAAATACAGGGCAGCGAAATGTGGGCAGTTATATACAACAAAAATATGCATGTCTTCTTAAAGCTCCACTTTCTCCTGCTATTGGCTGTAATGGAATATTCTTTGGATGTGCTAACTTCTGAGGGTAAAGGTTTTAGAGCATTAAACAATTTCAGTTCTGGAAGGAAGTGAGGGGTCAGTTGGCAAAGGAGGGAAACAAAAACCTACACAATGTCATATGAACTGTGAGCTGAGTGCTAGGAAGCCATGTAAAAATGGTCCAGGAAGAGGACAGGGATGTCAGAAGCGAGGAAAGGAAACAGAGTAGACAAAGCTTTGAGAAGAATTTAAGAACTCCTTACAAAAAAGAAGTAGTCAAGATGACTGAACCATGTAGCCCCCCCACTGTCTATTCTGATGGTTAGTCTCAGCAGAGGTTCTTTTCAACCCTGATTAGCCCCCTTCTGACCTACAGAGTTCAGATTCTCCCTGGATCAAAAGATGTGCTCAAATTACATGGCGTAAAAATACAATGTAATAATAAATGGATCTGAGATATGCTTAATTGGTAAGATTGAGGGAAAGAGGGAAGGACAAGCAAAGGCGAAAGGTGGTCTGAACTTTTTTTTTTTAAAGACTTCACAAAAGAACTAAGAGCAGAAATAGGGAGCCTTTGGCCCTCCAAAAGTTGTTTTCCTACAATTCCAAGCATAGACCAGTTGTACGTAATTCAGCAACATCAGTAGGGCCACAGGTCCCCCACATGGGGCCAAGAAACAGGAAGGAGTACCCCACAACCTGACAAGGCCCAACACTGATACCTGCCTTGGGTCCCCATTTCAGCCTTCCTCCCCCACAACACACACCAGGCAGCTGAGTTTAGGAGTGGCCATTTTCATTTCCCACAATGCCCCAGACAAGGTTTCTCCTCAAGAGGTTCTGGGAGTTGCCAGTTAAGTTTCCCCACAATCCCCTTGATGCTATGTCATGTCTGCTCCATTGGCGTCCTTCCGATGCCTGCCACTTCTGAGCCGCAATGTACGCAGAGTTAAAGGAGATTAGCAGAGGGCAGTTTACTGAGAGCTCCCTCAAAATTTAGAGTCAGCCCTGCTTTGATGCCTGTGAGTCAGGAAGCCACAGGAATCAGAGGGACCCAAGGGAGATAAAAGGCAAATCTAGTTTTTGATCTCAGTCCAAGGCTGCAAACACACCATTCAGTGAAAGTGCAGTGATAGCATACCCCTCTGAATCCTGGGAACTGTAAAGGTAAAGGTACCCCTGACTGTTAGGTCGTCGCGGACGACTCTGGGGTTGCGCGCTCATCTCGCTCTATAGGCCAAGGGAGCCGGCGTACAGCTTCCGGGTCATGTGTCCAGCATGACTAAGCCGCTTCTGGCGAACCAGAGCAGCGCACAGAAACACTGTTTACCTTCCTGCTGGAGTGGTACCTATTTATCTACTTGCACTGGTATGCTTTCGAACTGCTAGGTTGGCAGGAGCAGGGACCGAGCAACGGGAGCTCACCCCATTGCGGGGATTCGAACCGCCGACCTTCCAATTGGCCAGCCCTAGTCTCTGTGGTTTAGACCACAGCACCAACCACATCCTCTGGGAACTGTAGTTTAGCCCTAATAGAGCTTCAAATTCCAGGATCTTTAACAAACTACAGTTCCCAGGATTCTTGGGAGGGGGTGTGTGCATAGTATGTACAAAGGCCAAACTAAGCTTTCTTTAGGTGCGGAAATTCTACATTTAAATGGGTGGAGGCATGTAGGCCCCAGCCTCTCACCATCACTTTGGAGCGGGTGGGGATGAGGAGTTTGATTTTACTTGTGCGAAGTAAAAACAGTGACATGGGGTGGGGGTGGGGAATCAACACCCCCTCCCCAGTTCTTTAATTCTTTCCACAGAAAATGTTCCATTTGCATGTAAAAGAAAGGAAACATATCAAACTTGAGGATGAGGGAAAGAAACAGATTTCAGGGTTTTTAGGCACCTCCCTTCTCCTGTGTTACCATCAAAAAGGTTGGAAGCCACTTAAGACACAAGAACTTTTGAGTTTGTTAGCAAACCTGGCTGTGATTCCTATGTTTAAATAAGGGGTTATGTGTGGTTCTAGGGCTGTAAAATATAATTGCCTCCCATTTGTTGCTGCAGAAATTGCTTAGCATTCATGCTTTGTTGCACCAATAAATATTCAGATTATGCATTTTATTCCTGTCTGCCCCCCAGCTACCAGAATGTGGTCTTTGCATTCCTGTTATCTCCAGTCAGGGATGTATACACAGTGTGCTAAAAAGAAAATAAATTCTGCGCCAAGGAAACACAGCCTTTGGTTTCCGCCTTGTTAAATTGTTTTCTTTTCTTCCACAAAGCCATAACCCATCAACCTTCGCAAATCAACATCACAAATCTGATAAAGCAGAGTATTACCTAGGAAACTTCACACTACGATGAACCAGCTAGCTTCCTCCTTTTTTATTTTTGAGATTATTAATTGTAATGCAAACATGTCAATCAGCAGAAAACATGCAAGGTTTTTCTATCCATCTTTTACAGCTTTGGTCTTCTTCCATAAAGAAGCTCCTCCCTGTTAAGATACTTTGAACCTTTCATACATTTAGGCACACACATCTATCTCCATAAACACAACAAGAGTTAATTTAAAGTGTGGAAAAGAAGAAGAAAGATGGAAGGGCAGAAGAAAAGTAGAGAAGAACAGAAAGAAAGAAAGAAAGAAAGAAAGAAAGAAAGAAAGAAAGAAAGAAAGAAAGAAAGAAATCACCAGATGGTCCTCAATATACTACAACTTTTATTCATTCACATATTGAGTTAACATTGATAAAATATTTAAAAGCCACCTTCAATTGCCATGACTGCAAGAAATCCAGCATCTGTCAGGGACTGGGCAGAGGAGGAATGGTGAAGACTGCCTCCGCAGCCTGAACCTTCCAGAGAAGAGGAAGACAGTATAGTTTTACAACAGTGGTTTGCAGGAGGTCATAGCTCAGAGGTAGATGAGGGGCAAAGATGGGAGAGGAGGAGGGGGAGGCAGAGCCGGAGCAGCTGGCTGACATGTTATCACTAGAAAGCATTCCAGACCCCCCCTTCTCCCAGAACCTGGCGAGCAATAAAAGTAGGAGAGCAAAGGGCTTGGAGACAAATGTCCCTAAGTGGCCACTGTAAGGTGGGTGGTGCTGTTGACGATTGAGGAGAGAAGGGGTGGTGGTGATTACTTGGAGCATCGTCATTACTCCAAGAGGCTGCATTTCTAAGCCTCTCTGTGTGAATATTGAATAAAAGACCTTGGTAAGAACTTTCCTTGTCTATCTATTCCTAGCAGCCTATCATGGGGGAATTGGATTCCCTGACGCCTGCCAGCATCACATGGATCTGCCGTCTTGTTCATATTCATTACAACGGGGATAGCCCATCTTGGAGCCCTCCAGGTAAATAGTGCTAAACTGCAACACTGACCCATCAGCTCCAGACAGCCCGGTCAGTTGTTGGGGTGATGATGACACATACACCCCAAATTAATTTTGCTTTTAGCTCAAGAGATGTTACTACTGAAAGCATTGTCAATCTAACAAAGCATTTGGGTCTGGGTAGATACAACATGCCGACAAACTATAAAACAAAGCAGGGTGTGAAGATGAGACATGCAGAACCACCCAAGAACCTAAATAATCTATCACAGATTATTTTTGAAAGGGTAGAAAAGAAAGAGCAGAATGACTGACTGGCTAAAGCAGGGTCATTTCAGCTCTGACTGGTGAGGAAGACCAAAGCAGCCTACACAAAAGCTCCAAAATGGAATCATCAAGAGTGTCTAGGGAATCAGCGTGCTACATATTCTCCCTGTCCTTCGTCTTCCGTTCCATCCAGCGCTTCCTTTATATCGACCTAAGAGCATCAACAGATGGGGATGAAGGCACACACACGCACACACGCACGCAAACACACACACTGGAGCAGGGAAGGTTGGGTAAGGATAGCCAGACCGAAAGTTCCCCTGAAAAGGTTTGTGCATTTGCTTGCTGCTCTAATACCACATTCCACAAAGCTCCTTCGTTAAAAAGAAAAAGAAAAAGCTTTTATCCCTTCAGGTGGTGCTGGGTGTCATAAGTAGGAAGACTGCTATTGCAGTCAAGTTCTGCTTGTGAGCTTCCCGTAGGTGTTTGGACACCATGAGAACAGGAAGCTGGACTAGATCTAGAAGGACTCATCTGACATTCTTAACTGGGAGACAGACATCGCAGCGAAAGGGAGTGTGCATTTGGCCTGTACAAAGAACCCCCAAGCATAGTTTCTATGGGGTGCTGAAGTGTGGCAAAGTGTGCTCCTGAATGCCAGCTGTTGGGAATCACAACTGCACCCAGGTCTTGTCTGTGGGCGTCCCAAAGGCATCTATTTGGCCACTAAGGTAACAAGGATGCTGTACTTAGATGGGTCTTTGGCCTCATCAGGCAGGGTTCTTAGGTTCTTACGTAAAGCATGTCCAGTTGAGGATGGCTCCAATAGCCAAAACATGGGCCAATGAGATGACTGCTGTCAGAAAAGATAGGGAAGGCTGGAACCAACTCTCCCTGACACAAACTGTACTTGAATAACAAAAAAACATTTCAGTGTTATTTAAACACTGGAAGAAGCAAAAGGAAGATGACATTTGACTCCCTTCTGCAGCTCACTGTCCAAGTAAGCCAGGCATGTAGAGACAACGAGAGCTGTGCATTCTGGGTGCCTTGTCTTCCCTGATGTCCTTCCACTTTCAGTATAGAGCTGTGTCTCCAGTAAGGAGCAACTCTGGGACAGATTCAGACCAGCAACTGAGGGGGTAAAACAGACGTATGCAAGTGGTGGTCATTCAAGGAAAACAGAGCCCTGCATTTACTCAAGTACAAACAAGG